ATTTTCAATATTTTTACCCAAGCTCTCATTATAATCTTTGTTGACTGAAGGTGGACGGTAAACACCAGATATCAAAATCGGTCTCTTTCATTTATGAGGACAAATTTGAAGCCAGAGAGTTTCAAGATCATCCAGTTCCAAATCTCTTTGACGTGAAGCAATAACTTTCTCATTTACATATGCAATTATGCCGCCACCTTTCTTCTCGATTCGATCTTTTCTGTGTAATGTGTAGCCGGGTATCATGTAATAGCTGTCTGGAATTTTACTTGATCCGAACGTCTCAGTGAGAATTAAGACGTCGAGTTTAGCAGCACTGTTGTTGTTCGAAGTGAGCATTAGAGATAGTTCTTCCAATTTGGTGTCAGTCAGTCTTTGGATGCTCCAGTTGCTGACTGATAAACCTCTGAAGCCTACAGGATGTTGAAGGTTATTAGGTCCTGGATTGACGGCAATATCACCAGATAGAAGAATACACAGACAAAATTGACCAAGCTTGACAAACTGCAATAATGCCTAGAGCTTCAAATTCAATTCGCAAAGTGTGCATTTCGAAGGCTTTGACTTACAGTCGAACGTAGGTGGAGCAGATATTTCCTTCCCAATGAAGAGTCTGACTGTATAGCGATTTAATTCAGGTGTAATTGAAGTAAATTGGCCAAGTAAAACGCTGATAATAGTCAATAGAAGCACAACTGCAAAAACATGTCTGCACGCCATGACTAATTACTGCATTATGTGGATAAGGTTCCATCTCTGTACCATCTAACCCATCTTCGCCCTTCGTTGAATTACCATCAACGTCATGTTATGATGAACCAAGCCAGAAGTCAATAATCACTAATCCACAAACCTCTGCCAAGAAAAATGTCCCCAGCGTGAATATTGTGCCTTACAGACGAAAGTTGAACGTTAGGAAAGAGTGCATTCAGAGTTTGAAGTGCCTACTTGACGAGCTTTACATTATATCAAGTTCACTTTAATGAGTAATGATATAATAGTTTACACCAGAAAAAACCATTCCACTGAGGACATTTTTCTTGGCAGAGATTTGTGGATTAGTGATTATTGACTTCTGGCTTGGTTCAATCCATTCTCAAAGAAAGAAGGAACGAAGAGATGAACCAAACAACAAGATTTATAATACTAATGACAACTGGTTGAAGGATTATAATATCCAGTTAGCATATTCGTTTAACGATATTCTTCTGAAAAAAAGGCGCATTGCTAACAGATGAACATATTTATGCTGGACAATACCTTATCAGGAATCTTCAAACAGGAGTGGGATGGCCCAACTATGTTGTCAATATGACGTATTGCACTAAGTTCATTGTTCCACAAGAAAAAAATTTTACAAAATGCCACAACATTGCAGCACATTGGGTCACATCTACCATTATGACAGGAAACATCATTGTCTACGACAACCAAAATACAACCTCAAATGAATCCCTAAAACACCAACTCGTCACTTTATACAAAAGACTGTGCAACGAAGATGGTTCAATGAACATTACAATCTTCTTACGACAGCAACAGAAAGGAGGAAGTGATTGTGGGATTTTTTGCATAGCTAATGCTACAGCACTGGCCTGTGGTGTTGATCCATGTAAAGTTTCATTGTTGCAAGAAGGTATGAGACAACATTTGCTAAAATGTTTTAAAGAAAAACAATTGCAAATGTTTTCGTATGTGCCAAAAAATAACTTGCACCCAAAGCCATTATGTTGTTAGCAAATATTGCATTTGCCTCACACACATTCCAGAAGCTGCTTCGATACAATGCAGAGATTGACAAAATTGGTTTCATCATGGAGATATTAAGAACTGCATAAAACTTTCATCCGATCAGACAGCAGTACTAAAAACAAAAAAAACCTTTGTATGCAATTATTGCAATGTTGAAAACACTGTCGGATGTATGATCCAGATACAATCTTATCTGATCATTGTCTTATTAGATAGCTTATTTTCTACAACAACGTGCACAATCACCAAAAGAAATAAGGTAGAAATACTATCTTAACCACAACCTGGTAGCAGTTGTAGTACACTGAATGAACGAAATACCTTAAACTATGTAACAGTATAAGTTCCACTCACATCCCTTAATGTAATGTTTGAAAACTCTATTGTTGGAATAAGAGTTTAAATATTTCTATCATATGGGAACAGCATTTGAGGACGTAAATAGCACGAAAAAAGTATGCGGATGGAACTAACGACAACTGCAGTCAAATAACATAGATTATAATCTATAAATTGTATAAGTAATGTCGTGTATTTTTTTCTTGTGGTCTTTGTTGCATATGTACTCATGCTGTTTAAATGCCAGTTGTCATAGAATCGAAATATACATAATAGATACATACAAAGAATAAATCAATTGAACGAAGACAAAGGCATGCACAAACATACCTTTTAAGATCCCTGCCAATTCGTATACAAGCCAGATTTCTTTACCGCCGGATTCTGAAATGTAATTTTTACCAAATCGTTTTATTAAAATACAGATAAGCCTTTCTTATTTTATATACTAAAACATAAGTCAGTCTCGAATTTGTCCCTACGCTGACTATGATCTAGCACCCACTAATAATTTTGAGACTTTTAACAAGATCATCAATGATACACAAAGTACGCCCTTTCTGCTGACTTATGAGATGATTTTAAAAACGTATGGTGAAGCAGGGTGGTTGGAGGTGTTGCTATGAGGAAGAATACTTGACAATAATGGGTTAGTATAGCGTTTTCCGGTCAAAGGAAATTCATGTTTTCTTTCTCATAGTAATTCTCCAAACACCTTGCTTCGCCAAACGACGTTAAAATCATCTCATTCTGCTCCAACACATTCGACCTCATGATCCTCATCTCCAAACTAAAACCTTCAGTTAACACCCAAGGCAGCTCCATTCCTCTTAAGCTTTTCTAGTTTCAACACCTCACCCTAAGAATACATCACATTACACTTACACAGCCACAATAATCTGATACCTCAAACTATGTAAATAACTTAATATATATCTATAATTCTTGTAAAATTCCTTATTCGTCTGAAGATGTCTTGAGTAAAGACGAAACGTCACTCTTTTAATAAATTTCATAAAACCAAATTGTTTATGACTATATTTAAAATTATTTGTTGTGCTCTAATATTTATATTGAGAAACATAAAATTGAAAATTTATAAAAATTATCTGATTTTATGTAATTATTGTCAGTTTATATTTTAGAATTTAAGAAAGCAAGGTTGCTTTAATCATCGATATTGTGAAAACTATCAGAAAACTGCAGGGATGGACAACATTTATGGTGTTGTTTGATCCAATATGCAGCTTAGACGATTTTGCTGTCCATGTCCTTACGTATGTTCACCTAAACTTGGCATGGGCAATCCTCCCTGACAAGACGTTTGTTACTTTTGAATTATTGTCAACTGAAAGAAATTGATCATTGCCTTTGCAAATAATCACTACAAGAATAATTAGCACCTAATATTTGCTACGTTTTTTGACTTATATCTACCTTCTTCAGTATATATTGACTTACACAAACAACTAGAGAAATCACAGATAATTATTACGATCACATTTGATGTTCAACGTCACTGTCTATAGTCTACGATCTATCTTACAACGGTTAAACTATTTCTATTTATAAAAGATATTGTGTATGGATACATTTGTTTCTTTACTAAAAATGGTTACTTTACAATCAACGGAAAGCTATTAGGAACTATAAAAAATATTGTAACTATTGCACATAAGTATCTCTTAAAATAATCATTTAGTTAGTTACACTAGACTTAATTATTTACTAACTACGGGAAGAATACGAAAGCATATCTGAGAAATCTTTACTATAATTCAGAGTTAACTGTCTCGTATAGGTTAACCGCTGTCTGTACATTTATATAGATTTACGTTATGACGTCATTTGTAATATGAACTAAAAGTAGGGACACAAGACACCGAGGCAAGTGATCACTTGTCTTACTCGTGCATCTATCACCAGGGGGGGTAACTGTTTGGGTGGGTGTGGGGGGGTGTGACAACCCCCAATTGCTGAAAGCAGTTTTTTTGCAGGACATATTGCCGTCAAGTGTTCAGGAAGTAGAAATATTGCGATACCATTGAAAACCACTAAATGATTACTAAGAGGAAATAACTAACCTTCATTTTTGACAATTTTGGCTTAATTCTACAGTGTAATGTGTCTGTGGGATGTGTAAGATGAATTAATTATAAACACAGATACAGATTCCGCTGGATACAATGATTGTAAATGTAAAAAGCATGCTAATGCTAATTTTTGCATTGTCGAAAGCCGTGAAGCGAGCTTCAATCCAATAATTTCATCAAATTCTATGCGGTTTTGTATATTTGGCGAGAAAGACTACTTTTCAATGGAAGGTTAGTTATATTTACCGAAGTTGTAGGCCCATAATTAACGAAAGATAGTTGTGAGTTCATTGTATGCTATCATAATTTTGATGTTTACTCAGTTACATTTCTAATTTAATTGAAATTTCTCTTAAGAGGGAGGCGCAACTAGAATTAGCGCAAAAAAAACCAAAACCTCAACGCACACGAATTTATAGACGAAAGGTTAAATGTAAAGATTGTGGTGCAGAAATGAATGCTGATAATCTTTTGAAGCACAGTTCAAATAAACACAATGGCAGTGGCGTGCGGTGACCGAATTTAATAGGCAAGCGCTGGGGGTGAGGTTCGCGGCATGCCGCGAAGCTATCTAGGGGTTCTGGGGGCATGTTCCCCCAGAAAATTTTTGGATTTTGAAGGCTACTGGAGCGCATTTCCCGCGATTTCTGGGAGTACTTTGTCGAAAAAATGTATCTGTCATGACTGAAACAGTATTGAAAAAATCTAAAAAATTCAAAAACTTTTATAGAGTATATATCACAATTACGGTTTAAAAGTATTACATGTGGTATTGTGATATAAAGTCGTTTTAAGTAAATGGCTACGCGTGCATTTCTATTGTAGTGTGGGGTCATATGCACTTAGCAGTTTTATCAATTCGACGTAATTGCCCCTGTTGGCAGACTCCTCCAGCTCCACCCGACCTCTGAAAGAAAGTTCCTGTTTGCCAAGAAAGCAAACAACATCAATGAAACGGCGAAGTACTTCTCTATTCTTGTGCACCATCAAGTTGTGAGCTGAGATGTGTTGACGGGCCTGTTCGTCTAGCTGCATGTCGATGCGTGTACGCCCAAAACTGGCATTCATTAGGCAACTGGACAAGTGTGTCTTCGTTTTCTCGTGTCTGTTGACGGCATTACACAGGTTGGCCAAATCATCGTATCCCTTCTTGCACCAGACTGTCTTGTCTGTTGAGTTGAACAAAAGACACGGCCAGCAAAATAACTTATTTAATTTTGAGGAGCCAGCCAGCCATTTGTACTTGTCGTAATTTGACGTCTGAAAACTTCGAATAAAGACTTTACCACTTCGCTTGGATGTTGTATGTAGTCCTTGCAACTCAGGAGTGGGACGGCCACCTTCGACGATCTCTCGTTTCTCGGAAAAAGGTCTCAATCCAAATGAGCGGGATAACAGTAATTCCACAATGCATTCAGTCATGTTGTACAGGTGTCGTGAAAATACCGAATTGTAGAAGTAGAACATAAAAGGATGAAAATTCCTATGCTATATATTTTATAGGAACATCAATCTTATTTATACCTTACATCAGTTACATGATATCTTGTAGTGACGTACATAACGTGCGTACATTACTCATCTAGATTCATGTATTAGCAATAGAGGAAATAGCCAATCCTACACTTACTCAAACGCGCTACTTAAACTTACGCACTTAACTTTATAATGACGTAAAACTACTCAAATTTCAAGTACATTATCCGCTGTGTAATAACTGCCCCTTGTTTATCAAAATATATAAAAAGCCTGTAAATAAATTCTAACATATAGAATACTCACGACTGTTGTAAATAACTTCTTTGCTAGTGAATAAAATAATCACAAAATTTAATAGCGTTCTAGTACATTGAAATCACGTTCAGAGCTCATACGAAAGACTTATATAACGCTAAAGTATAACATGCTACAGATAATATCTTCTACATACATAAATTAGAAATCTACTACTACTTTGAATTAGAAATCAGAACATTACCTTTCGCTCTCAGTCATCTTTTAATAAACGATAACATTAACGGCGTGAATAATTCGGATGTCCAATGTGTTGAATATACGAATATTATTCGTGCGCTGATATGTGTTTAAAATTGCGAGCGTACAAGACTGTTGACCAATCGCTATCAAGCGGCGCCCTTAGAAGCGCCGCTTGCCTTTCTCGATATTCCTCGAATAAGAAGCCTCCAAATCTAGATTAACGCATGCGCAAATGTTCAAATTGAGCTCCGAAGGCAAGCGCGCTTGCCTTGGTTAATAAATAATTAATTTAATCCACTTAATTTAATACACTTGACTCATCTTACAAGTGTAGCAAAGTGAAACCGAAAACCACGACAGTAAATCGCGTATAAATAGCAAGCACTTCAACTGTAAAGACAATTTAGACAAAAGATTACATTGACATTGTTTAGAACAGAAAAATTTAAACTGATTTTGCTCAGAGATTGATCCAAAAAGATTTTTGTTCGGTAAAATGCTTAGGCAAGCGGCGCTTGCCTACGCTTGCATGACCGCACGCCACTGCACAATGGTATGTCAAAATCCAAAAATGTTGTAAAAACATCACAAAGAACGCTTCATATTTTTAAGGTTAGTAAAATGTCACTTACTTATATATGTACATAGTAAATAAAATGAAAATCTTTAGCATGCCTTATAGATCTCTTAGAAAATTGCTGGTTAGTTCTGCATAAGTGCCGTTCAATTGATGTGAAATAATTGATAATTCGTGTTGCACAAAACTTTGTTATTCTGCTCTGTTGCAGCAGCAATTATCTCTGTTATTGTGAATGTCACACATACCATAAAGTTTCAAGGTATTCTTATTTATTTTAGATCCTTCCAACTACCCCTGTTACATGTGATAGCATTGATGACATGTATGAAGGAGAAGTCAAAAGTGTAAAACAAAAATTCTGCAATGATACTGATAAATCACAAAAGCTTACATTCAAAAACTCTCATGATTTCTAAAACTGTAATTTGCACATATATACACTATCCCTAACCGTACATCCTGTGTCCCAAGTGCAGGAGTCACCATTGCACTATGGTGATAGCAGGGATGGTACATTGTATACATAGTTTATGTATATACACTTGTTTGCATATGATTTATAAAAACACGTGGATACAGAGAGAAAACAAACGAAACTACAGCATCAAGAGGGACTTCATGAAACAACTACCACCTCCGAACAAAAACCAAAACACCTGCCATGTTTGTTTCGAAAAAAGACTACTAATCCTAAAAGGACACAAAAAGAAAATTTTAAATAAATGCTCTGAACTTTTTAGTGCATGCCGTCGTTAATTTAACACCTCGCAACGAATTGTATATGCAGTGAATAATAAATAATCTGTCAGTTGCCTGAAGATCGCCCTACTGCTTGAAACTCCGAAAAAATTACAGCTATTGTGTATTTTATATGTATATATATATATAATTTAATAAATTACATTTCTTAAAATTTTGCTACTCGGGGAGTCTGGGTTTCATGCCAAAGCAATCTTCAGGCTCGTATCGTTTTCTAACTTTAAATACTGTTTGTTGAGAATGCTACCTTGCAGAAAAACATTGAACTGGAATTAGAAGTACATAATGTATGCCAGGAAATATTTGAAATAGATAACAATATAAATGAAATTGATTCAGAGGAAGAGGAAAAGATGGATGTGGTTTGCAATGTCTGAGTATGACGTTGAAATAATTAAATTATTTTTTTTAAATGTTATTTCTAAAGTAATTATATTTTGGTCTTTTTTAGGTTGATGCGGAAGCATCTGTTAACAACACGAAGAGGCAGAGAAATCTCACCTGTGATGGGAAACCTGCGTAGCTGAATTAAGCATATTGGCTGAAAATGTTAACCACTGCAAAAAAACTGTCACAAAAACGTTGTCCTCAGAAATAGTGTTTACTCAAGAAATTGTAATGCATATCCTTGAATACCTAAAGAAGATTACTAACATAGCCATCCTTTTACAAAGCAATTGTGCGGATATTCTCCAAGCTATTTGCACTGAGAAATCTCAAATTGGTGTTTTGGAAGACGAAAATGATCTTGGGCTGCTGCTTGATCCCGCCGACCGTCCAAAACTGTTGACTGATCTTCAGAAGAAAAAAATAATTAAGAATGGCCGATACCAACCAAAGCTCAGTCGTTACCCTGAGAACAGTAACATTGCGCAACACAAACAACGTATGTTTTCATCAATTTGGTACAAAGAATATCCCCATTTAGAGTACAGTATAAAGGCAGACTATGCATCCTGTTTTGTTTGTGCTCTTTTTCCGAGTGGACCAGGAAGAAAGAAAGCGTCAGATGCCTGGGTTACTGCAGTTTTATCATGGGATAAGATGAGAAGCGTGGATAAAGATGAAAAAGGAAAGATGCAACAGCATTTCTCTTCCAAATACCACAAAATTGCTATGAGTGATTTGGCACATTTTGCCTGCAATATGAAAAATGTCGATGTAATATTGGAAAAGAAGTTAAGAGAAGTAAGAATACAAGAAGAAGAAAGAATTTACGAAACCAAGAAGCCATAACGATCCTTTTAGACATCGCAAGAACATTGGCACAACAACAGCTAGTTTTCAGAGGGCATGATGAAAAGCACGAGGAAACTTTATCTAAATAACAAATCTTGTTGCCAGGCATAACCCTAGACTTCAGTCATGGTTGTCAGACAAAAACATGAAACCTTATTCAGTAAAATACCTATCACCTATTCCACAAAATGAGTTTATTAGCCTTTTGACTGAACATGTAAGGAATCGCATCGTAAAAGGTATCGTTTCATCCTCAGTCATGGTCGACACGTCTCCTGACACTTCAAATACGGACCGCCTCGTAGTGGCAGTGCGCTACGTTGACGAAAACAACGTGCCAAACGAGAGAATACTGGAGATGAAAGAAACAAAGAATTAAACAGGTGAAGGCCAAGCAAAAGAGACTCTTGATTCCCTTAAATCACGATTACCTATTTGTCACGATGGGTTAGTGTATCAGTCTTACTACTACACAGCTTCAATGTCTGGGACTTTTATTGAAGTTCAACAACATTTTCAGGAAATGGTTGGACGCAACATTCCATACATCCCATGTCAAAGCCATAAGTATTTGTCAAATGCGCACTATGAAAAATTTCAGTACAAAGTACTTAGGCATTAACTATATCTTTTAAGTATTTTTAAGACTAGTCTCTGCGTTGAATAATTTTTCAATTTTATGTTTTTAGACTTTCAACGAGCATTACTGAAAGGCCTCTACATTTGTTGAGATGTATAGCTTGCTGTATGTTTTTTTCAGCAGAAGTTGTAGACGAGATTCTATGTTGCAAGGACATATAAAAAGAATTGAAAATGCTCTTAACTTGCGCAATCTCTCAAAGAGGAGATGGGTGTAAAGAAGTGAATCAATTGAAGCGGTATGGAGATCATTTGAAGCCATACGAAATGCCTTAGCGGACATAGCAAAAATTGACAACAACTCGTTAACCAGAACCAAAGCAACCTCGCTCTGTAAGAAAATGGTCTAGTTTGAGTTCGTTTTCGCAGTTATGTTTACGAGGTTTATCATGTGAAAGACCAAGATCCTGAAAGTACAGATGCAGAAGCCAGAGCTCAATACCCTTGATGGTCTTCAACTGATTGATGAAACTATTAGATAACTGGAACGAATAAACGGAACACTGAATCTGAATTGAATGATCAAATAGATGCGAGTGTTGAGTTTGCGAAGACTCTAGGCTCCAATCCCGAGGAAGAGTTCGCTAGAAAGAGTAATTAAACATCAAGCAGACGTTTGGATGGCAACCCTGAGAATTTGGCAATTATCTCACTAGAAACTAACTATTGAAAATGCATGATTGAGGTCCTAAATTCCCTCATCAGAGAATATAGAGACAACATAAAAAGCTGTTTGCAAAAAATAAAACCGTTAGCTGTCATCCTTCAACCTCCACTGACAAAACCAAATTTTGAACAAGTTGAAAAGATCATCGAACTTTTTTTTCCAACAATTAGCATAGATTGTATGTCATTGTATGCAGAACTTGAGATTTTTGTTAACTTTGTCAATGAGACAGAAGAAGAATGTAAGACAGTCCACGACGCCTAAACACTGCTTTCAAAAATAAAGAATTTTTCCCAAACGTTTATAAATGCTACAAACTTCTGTTTACTGCTCCAGTAAGTGTGGCTGATATTGAAAGATCATTCAGCAAGATGAAAATTGTCATGAACTGTTTGCGCTCAACAATGAAAGGTGAAAGGCTGGAAGAACTCATTGTCCTCTCAACCAAGAAAGATTTAACAAATACAATTCATCTGCATGTAGTGCAAAAACCTTGGGCAGCCAGAAAAAAAGTAAACTCAGAATAAAATGAAAGTAAAAAGCAACACCTCAAGACTCTTGTACGTTGAGATGATTCTCACTTAAGACTCTTGATATGAGAACAAATATACATTGTTTTACCGTTATGTCCGAAACGGTTAAGGTTTATATTTCAAAAACAGGTTTTGCGATAATGTATGTGTTAGAAACTTAATCTGCAATAATGTTTACTAATAAAGCACGTATGCAATAATAGACATGACTTTATTTTGCTAGCCATAACAATTTAAGGGGGGTTTGTGGGCAACGCCCTTTTGCAAGGCAAATTTTCTCCACCCCCCCCCCTTATTTCAAGCCTAGTTACGCCACTGCCTATCACTGAAAAGATAACGGTTGAATTTAATCTATTTCTTTTAAATAGAAAACCGAAAAAAATTGTAATTCCTTGACGTTAGTAATTCAAAAACAAGAAATTTTTGTTACGCAAATTCTGTGCATATGCCCTCTTATAGATCATATAGCTTGCTCAAATTTTTATGGTCATTATATAATGTGTAATAATTTAGTGTAATCGAAAACAGGAAATTAACTTTATAAATAAATTACGCATATTCACTTTGAATTTTTCTTATAGTAGTAAACGATTATAGTCAAGAAAAGAGAAAATAAAGCAAGTTTAAAAAAATACATTTTACATACGACATGATAATTTTGCACACATTGACTAAGTGAAAAGTAAAAAATAAAATTAGAATATCTAATGCATATATCTGTTATACAACATTCAAGAGAACTTACTTAGGTCATCAAACAATATGAAAGTACATTAAATGTTCGAAACTTGGGAAAATGATTTTATCCATTTACATTGGGCAGAAAGTTGTCAATGTGTATATTTATGAAAATGGTTTGATTTTCATAGATGTGGTTTTCAAGGAATAGTGATGCCCTTTCCATGTGTACCAATTGACACCGTCAGCAAACGATTTATGTGCACCTTGATGATATATTCCATTTAGATTGGATGAGTGGCAACTTTCATACCACCAAGCACCTTTGAACTGTTGTGCGCAGCTTTTTGACCATTTATCGTTGTCAGCGTCTTTTGTCAAAAATTTAGATCCATTATGCCGTGAGAATGAATCGCCAGCAGTACCTATAAAAAATAAACGCTTTGTTGGCGATTTTTTTGTTTTAACCATGGCATTGTTTATTACATAATATTGCCATTCTAGAACACACAATTTTTTTCTCTTATTACTAGAAAAAAACACGTTAGCCCGAGTAGTTAGCAATTAAGACATTCAATAAGATATTTTACTATTAATAAATATCTACAAATATAACAAGAGTAAATGGAAGGAGGTCCTGAATCTGGTGGTGCCGATGGTGCATTTAAATATCTCTGGATGACGTCACACATTAAGATGACTCAAATTAAAATTGCAGATTGCCAATAGTTTTGAATAATTTATTCATATTTTATCACAACATCGCACTTATACAAATTTTGCTTGCTTGCCGCTTAAAACTTTCAGTCCACAATATTTTGTGCCACTCTCGCCATGTGGTCGACGATTTCGTCTAAGAATCAAACTGCAAACTTAATCTTTTTACTTATACAACTATATTTTACTTATTTGAGAGGTAGAAAAAAATTAGCATTTGATAGAAAACTAAACTATTTATATATAATTGTTTTCCAGCTCAAAACATGCAATGATCGTCAACATGTTCCAACACTTTCTCTCCTCGTTTATCAAAACCTATTTATCAGTATCTGGCATATATCTGTCAATCAAACGATTTCATATGTAAAATTTAGGGCTCAGAACCAACAAATATTGATGCACAAATTTTATGAGCACTAAAATTCTTAGAAATTGTGATGCAGAATATGCTTTTTCCTTTTGTACTTCCTTTGCTTGGTTATGATCTCAAAACCAATAATTTAAAGACCCAGTTTCCCAAAACAACCAAAACACTAACAGAAAGCCAATCTAACTATTGCATTGAAATAATTAGTCGTCACTTCAACTACCTGAATATTTTCCAAGTGTTAGCTTGTACTTCTGTTTTTCATTTGCCACAGAAATTTTTCTATACTCAGCGTACCTTTTGTTTTTTTTTGTGTCTTCCATATCAATGCAAAGTTTATTTCTTTTTGCGCTGGTTAATCTGTGGATTTTATCTAATCCTAACCAGAACTCGGATTTAAGATTACCGAATCCTTTTTTATAGTCATTCCATCCGCGATAAAAGTTAACACTTCCATCCATTCGACGTTGAAATACCGTCCAACCGCCACCAGAGGTCTTCATGTCACAATAAACATTAAAGCTTCCTTGATCATCAGGTTCAATCTTGTACACCCCACTCGTCCTTTCTCCTTTCTTGTAATAAACAGCGCAATCTTTAAAAAAATACAAATTATTCATAAAAAAGGAGTATAAGAAGCTTTGTTGCACTTTTAGTATATTGTAATGCCTATAATTATACAATTATAATTGTATTTAAAATAATTATTTATGTTTAAACTTGTTCAACTTTACCTTTTTCCACTTTATTTGTACAAGTTCGGCCTGCATCGTTTTGCTGTTTAGTGATTTGCGTTTGGAGGTTTATCACTTGTGACAAAAGAGCAACAATCTTATTTTGCACATTCCCTCTTCCTTGATGATTTGATTGTTGTAAACTTCGCTTAAAGCTTTTTGACAGGGAATTTGTAATTTGCCCATGTGGATGTAAAACGGCTGAAAGCAAAATTAAAAAGACATTTTTGGTGTCTCATTGTTTAAGTTGTATTCATAAAGAAATGGAATCATTTGAATGTGTAATAGAGATGTAAATATTCAACATTTGTGTGAACATTCAATGGCGTATCTAGAAGTGATTATAGAGTATGATTAAAAATTAAAAAACACTATGTAGTTTACACATAAAGTAGCTATGTTCTATTTTGCGTTGTGAGCATTCACCAAGATCATTTCACACAGTTATCAATGAAGAATTTTAACCCTTTCCACATTCGAACCCTGAAGAAGCTAACCAACAACGCAAGAAAATGAAGACCACGTTACTACGCACTCATGTTACAATTAGACGCCAGTTGCTCGATCACTCGATTATAGCGCAAATTTTAAAGCTTGAAAATCCCCAAAAATAAAAGACTAAATTTCATCCGTGAGTAACGGTATACATATGTCATGCTATTACTTACCATTAACCATTAGTGAATATGAGAATACGGACAATAATATAGCAAATTGTGAGTTAATCATCTTATCGACCAGACACCTGATAAAATGTGAAGATAAATGCACTATCACATGCAGTTTATATAATGTACTCTTTACTAGAATGCTAAGTGTTGAACAGGAATTTTCTTGAAGCGGTGTCTTTGCTGCTGCTGAAGCTGTCAGATAATTACTTACGTATTGTCCACTAATATTTGCATAACTAAACGAGCTTACCTCACCCACGTCAATTCTTGACTTGACTTTTAAACATGATGAAAGAGCTATGGAGTGTCATGTCGTTTGTTCCATTTAGATGAAAAATAAGGAAATGTATGCACGTAGAAAATGTTTGTTTAAAATCGCATTTTTTTAATCAATTTTTCAATCTTTGAGGATATTTGATTTTTTTCAATGTTAAAGTTAGTAGTGTTTATAAATATTACTTAGTAATTAGTAGAGTTATTAATATTTTGTTGAATTTTCTACGTGGACGTATCACTTAGTGATCAGAATTGCTTTTTGCAAGTCCTTAGCATTTTGATAAAAGTCATTATTTAATTTTATTTATTATTGACTTGTTCCTATTCACTATTGCCTCCTGGTGTAAATGGGAGAGAACATATTGTTATTCATATCTTGATATCGTGTATACGTGTATAGTCATGATGCAAAACAACGATTATTTGATGTAAAGGTCGTTCTGTAATGCTCAAATATGTAAATTATTTTAGATTTACATTTAAACAAGCTTTGATCATATGAAAAGATATTTATCATAACCAGTAAGCATGACACATAAACCATTTTTAACATTCATGTAATTATATAATTAAAGACTTGTTGGTTACATTCTGTTTGTATTTGATAATACAATGCTACTAGTGATTGCTATATAGCACACCTTGCAGAAGATAATAGTCTAGTGAAATGCCTAATAAACATTTATGGCATTAAGCTAACCTTAACTGCAAATTTTCACTCTGATAATTTTTGCTTAATCTTTGGCAGAAAAAAATTTTGAGTTTTTCTCAAAGGGTGAATTCGCTGGCACTGATGTGGAGATGGGTAAAGAGTTACAATAAACTTGCATGGTTTGAAGTCTGAGCTTTTCTATATCTATGAACTGTCACTTGTAGTACCAAATTTCTAACTTAACTTATTACATAGAGGTTTGAATGGGGGTCTCTAGGGGGGTCTATGCCTGAAAACTTGATGGAAAGTTTAAAGAATATATCTGTTTTTGAATAGCATTATTGTAAAATAAATTTACGTTCCTAGACATGCTAATGAGCCATATATTTGGCATGATAATGAGCCTAAATATTTTGCAAAACATTCAAGTATTGTTCACTTTATTTTTTTTTTTTCCTATGGAGAAGCATCAGTAACGTGGATTTCGTTTTCCTCTGGTGCTTCGACGGTTTGTGAAAAATCATCGGAGTGACATTGGCTTACCTCAAATGGCTTTGTTTCCATTACAGACGTGCAACCTATTCGATCAACTGCTAAAAATGGAGATTCCGTGCATGACTTCGGCAGTTTATCAAATGACCAAAGTGGAAAGTTCTTGAAAATTGCAAAGAAGTGCTTACATGGCAACCTGTGTCTTTCCCAGTCATAACAATCATAGCTTGAAAGATCACCTGGATCACTTCCAAACGACAATGTATAAAACTTGTATATGTCGTCTTGACTACGAACTTTGAAAGCTCCATGCATTTCGTCATGAGCCATGATGTGTGATGCAAGGGTATCTTCTGACGATGCAAGTCTTTCCATACAATGCCTAATCATACAGTGCGGTCTTTCGTGAAGGTATGACGGGACATCAGAATTGTACTGCCTGTAATTGCTCTGCAATTTCGTATTTAACTCGACGTATTTGTAAAATTAAAGAAGAATTTCCAGCGTTGTTGCTGCTAAAATACTAGCGCTAAGGGCAGCAGTGAATTCCCCAGCCCGTTTTTTGTACCTCTACAAATCATATAATTTTGTGTTTAATCCATGGAAAGACAATGAATGGAATCGAATTTCTAAAGAAATGAGCAATAATTTTGCTGAGAAATCAGATTTGTTGGAGGAAAAGATCGGGCTGGCTTTGGCATCACCAAGGACACTTGTTCAAGTAAATAAAAAGAAAAAAATAAGTACTTGAAATAAAGGTCGGGCAAAAAGTCTTCAATTAGCACTGTCAGCATGACGCTTAACATTGAATTCTTGTAGCCATTCAAATATTCATGCTTGAAAGCTTTGTTTTGCCTTTCCACGCCATTATTTGTGTTTATGATTGTTAGCAGTCAATCTTTTCGAAAGTTCCACACCCATTTCTACAAATTTTGTCCGCGCGAGAAAATTAACGAAGTCAACATGTATTGTAATTATTGATGAGCACTGTAAGAATGATATTATTATCAAATTATAAAATTATCTTGCCTTGTATTGGGATAACCAAGTATTGCCAATCCAGTTGCGCAGCTTTTGGTTTGTCTTCCATTCTTCTGATGACTTAAAATTTTTAACATTTTCCTCAAAATCAGCTTCCGTCCTTGCTCTGGCAATTAATCGAAGTTTTGCAAGAATCATTTTTTTAACGGGAGCTGTCCGTTGCTGCTTTTTGAAAGCCATCGCTCCCACGCTAGCTCTCGATGGAAATCGCAGATGTACGTCTGACTTTCTGTAATATATACGTACAATTAACATGAAGTGTATTGACTAGATTGTACCTTTTACTCCACCCCACAGAAAAAGAAATTTGCATATTTCTGCCTCAATTAAAAACAAAAGAGGCGTGTAGCATTGTGTGTGCCTTTGAAAGTAGTTTAGTTCTAGGTTTCCTAAACTGGGAATACTCGGTTTATTGCCGACATTTCATCTTCGGAGTAATCTACCATAAAATACTCTGGATTCCACTTGTTGTTCCAACCTCTTATAACGTGAAGAGCCTCCGCAATAGCGTACGAAGTTTCACTTTGCAGGACAAAAGAACCAACGACTTGATAGCTTACATTGGTTTTTACCACAAGAAAAAACAAAGCGAGGCTGTATTTTATCGTTTTGTAAGTGGTATCTAGAAGGGTTATTTCGTTACCATATCACTTTAGAAGACGTTTCTGATTAACAGTCTGGCGAATGAATAACAATCCATTTTTTGATTGTGGCAAAACTGTGTTGTCATCATCATCGTCATCATCGTCATCGTCGTCTTCTTCGTTATCAACACTATTTTCTTGAGCAATCAAAGACTCTGCTGAATATTTAGCAAGCGGGCGAAAGAAGAGAGACTCGTCGGGACACCTCAGTTTCCAGTCTTCGATTTTCTTTTGAAGATTTTCTTGGTCAAATTTTGAAAATCTTTCTTTGATGACTGCCTTGTAAATGTGGCTACGTATGGTTTGTTTGGAAGGATAAAATCTCCGATTGGTTTTAGCGGGTGCCTTTGTTGCTTTGTACAGATCTTGCTCCACATAGATTTTAAGATGCCTCCTAACTTCTTTAACTGAGCAAGCCACAGCAACAACCAATTCTTGCACCTTGGAAACAAGCATCTTATCAATTCCTTGATGAAGACCTCCAGCCTAAATATAAAGGAGCCGATTATAAAACGTAAGGTTTAAAAACAATATAGCAAGACATTGACTTGCACCGTACAAAAACTAGGACTAAATATATCCTTGCGCTTCCTATAGGGTGAGTTTTGTGCTCAGATAGGCAAGGCAACTGGATATGGATCCACCTTTCTCCATTGCACCTTTTTTAAGCATTCCCTAAGTTTTTCGACATCGATTTTCGTCGCCAAACCGTTTGCTCTGTAATCTAAAGGCACGTAAATTTATCAAAAAACCTGTGTGAGTAAAGTTTCAAGGCAAATTGATTTGAACACATCAAGACATTTTTGTTGTTTACACCTGACAGATCGAGTAATGCATGCAAATAAACACGGTTATTTAAAGTTTCCCTAAAGTCTGGAGATCTGATGTATTCCCTCATGTGAACTTGTGCTGAACAGTTCAATTTTCATGTTCCTTGAACGATGTTTCTGTGCTTCTTAAACGACTGGTCGCTAGAATTTGAGTAAAAGATATAAACATGTTGGTAAATAATTACACCTAAAAGGAAAAGCAGCTGAAGAAATTCATGAAGAAGAAAGAAACCAAGATTACATGACATTGTTAAAAATACAATAAAACTCAAAGTTTCCCTCAAAGCTCTCCCTCAAAGCTACGTTAAAATTAAACTGGAAGTTTAATTTAAACGTACTATAAGGTTAGCAACGTCGTTTCACTTTCACTTTACTTTTTTTAAATCTGTAGTTTTGCATTGGCAGATGAATAATACCTATTACCGTTCTGTTTTTCTTCTTTTGGCTTGAATGCCTATCTACCCCATGACAACAATCGTAGATACTATTGTTCACTTGAATGAACGGTATATGGTCAAATGGAAGCTGGCCACCTTCCCACCAAACCTTGTGATTGGCACTTGTGAGATCTAACATTTTTTCGATTAAAAATAGAATAAGTGATTTCATTTAGTTCAAATTGAACCATTATATTCAACATTACTGTGTGATTTACGTGGTTGTATTCTGTACACATTAAACGAAACCTTTTTTTAAGGAAGAACTGTGCTTTGCCTCTTGCTCTTTTTTTCGACTAAAGTACTAACTGCGAGTTGGTTTTCACCTTTTTTGCGATGAGTGTAGTTTCCCTATTCCCTCCTCGTCCGACACACAACGACAGACTGAGGATAGTAAGACTCAAATGTGCATGGACATTATTATAGTAGTTCTTATATTAAAGAATATGACAACATTCAGGTTTCATATAACAATTTGATCTGTACAACTTAAATAAGGAAAGCACATAGATCAATATATATTAGTTATAATTTGAGGAAAAAAGAAATACAAACCTGTGTTCCCAAATACTTTCTTTGCTTTATTTCCACAAAAATTAGTTGTACTCTATAAGGAGACTTTCTGCTTCCTCTACATTTTTCACAAGTCCAGAGCGTTCAGACACTTTGATTTTAAATAAAGCAGCCGCTGATGAAATTTCAATACTTTCCATATTCATAAATATGTGCTTGTTCCTATAAGAACAGTTTACCAGCGGAAACATAAACAGAAATGTAACTTCGTTTGTATTGTGTGGTGATGTACAATATGCAGAGACTGTTTACTATTTTTAATTATTTCAATTTTCCCGCGATAAGTTTTAAATTGCTCCGAATTATAAGGCTTTACCATTGAGTTCTATAATAACTGGAGCGGCTATCTTTACTGGGGCGAGGTCGCCAAAAAAATGGCGGCCAACGGACGTATTTCCGCTGAAATGATCGCTTTGCAGAAAAATAATATTCTCGACCTCCCCCTGGTGTCTATAGTAAATTA